TAACTTATCAAGTACAAAAGTGTGGCATAGTGGTAAGCAATGGGGCAAAGGTCATTTGTTTGTTTCCCACATGGGGTAATGCCGTTGTATGTAGGCGCTTAGCCTAATATGCCTAAACTGCTAAATGTTCAGTCAGATAATTTGAAGTATATTAGTCAGTAAGAGTGTACACTAAATGCTATGCTAGGCAACTATGCTAAGAACCTAAATAATAATAACATTTTTAAAATCTTCATAGGTTTGCCCTTTATACTGTTTTTATACTGTGCCTTGCAATGGCTGTATTCTGGCAGAGAGACTGTACATACCCTCTTGGTTTTGTGGTTTCTTTACAGTGAACTGGGTGAACTGCATGTGTTTTCAAAACCCTCCTCTGTTCATCGTCAGCTTCAAAGTAATGTTACAGTGACCTTGAGCTGGATGCACCAACAAGCCTGCCTCATTCACTATTACACTCAGCCACAGAAAAACAATGACTGACAGTACTGTATAATGTGGATTTTGTGTTGTGTAGACAGCTCTTCCCCCAGTCCACAGACAATTTGCACCTAGGACATACTGAAAGCAAGGTTTCAAAGACAAAGAACAGAATGGCCATGAAAATAACAGACAGACATTTTCAGACAGGAAGAGTTGAATCCCACTGAAACATTACTCACTCTACCTTGACGATTTGCGGGAGGCTGTATGTATAAACAGCAATTTAAGCCTTTCATAAAAAACGATCACGTTTTTGACAAGTTAAAATTTCTTTGCTTGCTTGGTTATGGTAATCTCCACCCATTCTTTGCTTACTGTGGGTAACATTTGTGTAGGTCATTTGCAGTTGAAATAATTTGCTTTGTTTACAATGGCTGGCACATTTATGAGGCATTGTACAGATACACACTAATAGGATTATCGTAGATATTATCTTAGACATATAAGAAGATTATCTTCTTTTTTTATTTTTACATTTTTTTATTTCAGGGATCACCAAAGCTCATTAAAGTGTACACAGTGTGTAGACTGAGTACCAAAAAAGCATGACACTTCCACAGAGTCATTGCACTGATGAAGCACATTGTGGATGGTATGAATCTGGGCCATCTGCAGCTAGTTTGATACACAAAGATACACAGTACAGGAGGATAATGATAGTGGCAGGCAAAAGCAATTATAGAACATAAATTGCAGCCACAGTGCCTGAAAAAGTCAAATGAACAGGTTGTTCTGCTACCAGTCAGTTGCCCCTGGCCCTGCAAATACTGAGTTTGAGTCTCATTTTCAGAATTTCATCTTTTAGGAGGGTTTCAGCAAAAGGGCAACCACATTCTCCTGCACTCTATGTCTGCCTGTCAAGATGAGACAAAAATGTGATCTCAACTGCAGCCTTCAAAAAAAGGTGTCGACTCGATAATCTGTGCATTTACTCCGGGGCAGGGTGAGGGGTGGGGTGTGATGTCAGGGCAAATTGCCATAGCTGGGAGCATCAGAGGTCTTCAACCACTTTTCAGATCTCAACAACCTCCACATCAAACTTAAGAAGTGCTAAGTCAATTTCCTCTACAAAATAAAGGGGAAAAAAATGAAACCTGGACCCCTTGAATTATTCATAAGTACATTTCTATGATGAGGATGCCCTCTATGCAACATGTGGTATTTTGAAATGATGCATTCCTGGCATTGTTTCACACTGAGGCAAGTGCCCTACGTTTACTCGGTAAGTGCTGAGGCAGGATACCGACTAAACGTAGGGCTGACCATGCTAAAGATTCCAATAGAGCATGATCACTTTCCTCAATTTAATTTTTCAATAACCTTCAAGAGTGGGACTGTGTATTAATGCTCCCATATTATGTGGTAAAGCTATCCCTTCAGCTGTTATGGAGATACAGTTGTATTGCATTCGAAGTTACTAAAAGCATAGAGGCACTGTATTATTCTAGATTACAGCATCAAAACTATTAATTTTAGATAGGTGTGACTGGGTGTTACATATGGATGTATGACTTCTGTGTGCTTCCTTCTCTAGTTTACATGGCCTCAGTGTACATGGTATTATTTATAGCTCCATGAAAATGTTACCACATTACAAAAGGTTAATTTATTAAAATAGGTAGGTATACATTTTTTCCCTTCCAATAGTTTACCATAATCTTTTTTTAATCTTTTTTTCTTTATCTTACATGATGTGCTCCTAAAATGTGAAAATAAGGACTTTCTTCATGAAGTCTAGGACGGAAAGTGTCTTACCTTTGGATAAGGGTACTGATGTCCTCGTGGGTACAGGGTGCCAGTGAGGCGCGGTAGGAGCATGTTGGGGACCAGGGTATCGTCGATGGAGAGGAAAGCTAGCCTTTCGCCGTTTGGAGCCCACCAGTGTGCCACGTGGGAGTGCAGCAGCTCCTCTGTATACAGGGGCACGTCATGTGGGGCACACATGTGGATGAAATACAGAGACCCTTGTGGATGTCATGTAGTATAACGTGCAGATGCACAGATATAATGTGGGAATATTCGCATGCAAACATACACATACACACACACACACCATAGGGGGGCATCTGAAAGCAGGTGTCATGTAGGGAAATGTGCCTATATAATGTGAGAATACGCACATATTCTACCAATGAATGGAAGGTCCCCACTCATAGCCTGCCCGTCACCATGCCATGTGAACCACACTTGCTATAGACAGGAAATGACATAAATAACACATAATAATAATAACTAATAATAACATAAATGTTCTTTTTCATGTTATCCCAATGTTAAAGGTTCCACTGTTTTCCAGGAGTCTCTCAACTGTTTTTTTCCAGGGTCATGGATTATTTTGTTGTTCAATTGACCCTGGGATTTCAGTTTTATTCATTTTTTTATTACCTCTGGAAAATGCACTAATGCTACATGTTCAGCGCTTTGTGACAATCTTGATTGTAAAAGTATGCTGTAATGAATAACATCTGATGGATTGATTGGTTCCTATACCACACAGAGACATGTGGAGATGACATGTGAGGGTATGCCACAGTCACGTTTTGTGTTTGTGCTGTAATTCCCAGCAGAATCATCCTGGATCATATTAACTGCTTGCCAGTATTACTCTGCTTTCAAATCAAAATAACAGCAATGCAAAACAACCAGAGAAAAAAAGGAGAAGTTTTGAATCGTGAAATTATTTACTGTCACATTAACAACAGATCCTCATTGAAAGGAGTTTAATCATGTCGAAATTATGAGGGTGGTTGTGACAGTCATTCAAATCTGATTAATAAATTCTTATGAAGCCGCCCCTGCGAGTGAGTCACAAAATGCTTCTGTTCTTCTGTGCAGGTTTTTGTTGGTGGAATTGAATTCTGAATTTGCTTTGCACTGTAATCACCCCACCGCGCGATTATTGCCGTTCAGACATGTCGCAGACGTTCTGCATAGTCTACTTGTCTGTCTTGTAACAAAAGGAGTGACAATGGCCTATCACGCACTTTAAACTCAGAAATGACAAGAAAAATGCTTGCTGATGCACTGATGATTTCAGATGAAGATTTTAAGCACTTTAGGGACTTTGAATCCAGCTAATGAAGGAAGAATGTGGTATTCATTAACAAACACCCTACCCTATATATAAAATGCGAGTGCTGGCTCTATATATCATACCCTATACAAAAATAGGAATGAAATAGTTAATAAAATATTTTTCAGCATTTTCTCATTTCAAGAAATTTCTTCTCATGTCTCCCTTTTAATCAACATGCCTGTTTCCTTTTGCAAGGATTTAATGATTCGTCAGAGAGACATGGCATCCACATAACCTCATAATAGGAGAAAAAATGTATTTGGTATGTATTTATTGTTGTATTAATTTATTCTTTTATGTAGACAATGCTAAATGATGATTTGGTTTAATCTTGCTCTAACATGAAGATGTGCACTATTCTTGTGCATTTTAATTCTGTTGCACACTCGGTGGACGTTCATGGGCAAAGGTTGATGGATGGTGATTGGGTGAAGGGTTGATCAATGGTAGTTTGACTGCTTTTATTGATTCATCCATTCATTTATCAATCTGTTTACCTTCATACAGCCAGTCAGCAATGCCGTTGAAGATTGCTCCATCCTGTCCTGATGAAGTCAGTCTGAGGGAGCTGGCTTTGACATCCGGCTGGTAATAAATGTTGTTTTCAAAGATATAAACCTAGGGAGCAAGAAAGGAAAGGCTTTTGATGGGTCTGGTGGTAGAATATAATTATTCTATGGAGCGTTGTGTTCATGCAAAGCCAGGGCTGGGCCCTGAGTTAGCATTCACCCTATACCTCTTTAATTTGTACTGAAGAACTCCATGTTTATCTCAGAGATGTTGCCTAAGGGCATCCACAGTCCAGACTGAGCTTGTGTACATCGAAGTTCTCCCACGCATTGGCACAAGATAAGGTACAATTTGCTCAATGAAACAAAGTTCCGAGTCCCCAGCCACATACACACAAAGCCTCACATATTCAAAAAGCCAAACACACACACAAACTGGGGTTTTGTGGTCGCATCCTCTTTCTGATGGTGTTCAACTGAGACCAGAAATCTTCTGAGAATGGTCAGACTGTAGTCGGAGTGCACTGAAATGAAAAGGGTTAAGCTTAAGATCCCCAGTCTGCGGGATCATTTGAAGCACTCTCATTGCCCTTTCTGCTGTTCATTTTACATCTGCTCGTCATTTCAGCCTGTCAGAGAAAACACACTCTCTCCAGAGAAAAAAGAGACAGAGTGGGTCAACAGCAGCTTTTTACAACCAGAAGTAGGGAACCAGTGCTCTACCTTCAAGTAACTTGTATTTGAACAGTTACGCTTTGTTACACAAATTAAATTTTAACTAAGTACATCTAGAGAATTTATCTGAGAGGTAATACATTACATTACTGTTTAGCTGAAGCTCTTATCCAGAGTGACTTGCATAGGCTTCACATCCATTTATACAGCTGGATATTTACTGAGGGAATTCTGGATAAGTACCTTACCCAAGGGTACAGTAGCAACAGGGAATTGAACCAACAACCTTCCGGTTAAGAGCCCTGCTCAGTACCACTATACCACATTGCCACCCTTGCTTGCTGTCAAAATTACCATTAAATACCTATAAATCACTTAGAATCCATATAGCATCTCTCAGGGAGCCTTTTCTATTTGAAATGAGATATACGTTTATTTGGTCATGCTATGCACATATCAAGGCAATGGCCCCATAGTCTAATCTGTAAATGCATTGTATGGCCAGCTACACACTTCCCTTGGATTTATTTTATTTCATTTATCTATTTTATTTTCTTTGGCGAGAAATTGCAGTTGCTGTTCGATGCTGTTGCTGAAATATAATGGCGGTACCAGATTAAAATGTTCCATTTTGTACAATGTAGACCATGCTAAATGATTTGTTGTATGTCTTCAGGATGTGAAAACATATTGATGCATTGATTTAATATTCAAAAGAATGGGAGATGCTAATTTGACAATGCAAATCCATATGCAAATATAATTCATACATTATTAATGACTTTAAAGACTCATTAGCAAGTGTCAAACACCCCACTCAGGGATTTTGCATAGTCTCAGTAGTAATGGATTATTTAGGTCAGGAATAAATACCGTTAACATTGACGAATATGTTATTCCACACAAATGTAAATTATGCTTTCTGAACACATTAGAATTAATGTACTTATAAGGTTTATACTAACTAACTTTTTTGTTTGTTTGCATATTACTCACATTGAGAGTTCTGGTTCCATATATAATTGTATAATGTAACCTTTTGTGGAATTTTCCTCAGTCTGCCATCTCTGGCTTCACATTTACTAGTATGCTTTATTGAGCATTTATAAGTAGGCTATGTCTAGTCTCAGAAAAAGATGTACGGTTTCGTCATGCATGTGTGATTCTGCATGGCATTATTTCACCAAACAACAATCAGCACTCCCCTGAAAGGCCACTAGGGGGGCTTTTCTTTGAAAATTGCATTAGTGAGAGTGTAACTAACTAAATTCATCACTTACCTAATTGTAAACTCATAAATATATAGAGTCAGACAATATACTCCATAATTTATTGTGCTTCTGAAAGGCAAGATTTCTGTAACTCAGCAAGCACTCAATAGACAAAGAGATAAATGCTGGGAGAATGATAGCTTTTTAACCCTCATATTATGTTTGGGGTCCTGGAGACCCCAGGGCGTGTTTATTTATAGAAAAAACATACTTAACATATTTTGTTCAGCTTGATATTCAATGACTTTTCCTAATTTACTAAGAAATAATCATGAAGATGATTTGGACTTGACGACATGTTTCAGAAGGCTCCTACAAAGAAACTCACACTAATTATGTTTGGGGTCTCAGAGACCCCAATAATAAAACATGATTTGTCTCAATACTATCATTGACACAGAATTTCTAATATACATAAAATCAGCTTTTGAGCTGTACATCTCACCTTCTATAGAAAAATAATTCTTGAGATGACCAATTTAGAAGGGAGGCGGGTATATGGTAAACAGTGGAAAGATGTGGATAGTATCCTCCTGCAGGCTTACATTGGTGTACTAATTCTACATTTACATTTTACATTTATTCATTTGGCAGACGCTTTTATCCAAAGCGACGTACAAAAGTGCAAATAGTAAGTAAACAACAGGCACAAGAGCAAGATGTGTACAGGTCATACAATGCAAATAGTGCTGAAGCTGAGCGCAAGGTCAGTGACGCGAGCCAACTAATCTGAACTAGGATTGCATCTCAAATACAATTACAGAAAAAATGGAGTACCGCTATACTACCTAGGTAAGTGAGCAACAAGTACAAGACAGGAGTCAGATTCTCAACGTCGAGACTCAAATTCTCAATTCTGGCAGGAGTGTACAGGTCTAAGGGCGAGGCAGCATCAAGCCTTTGGAATGCTGAAACAGGCAGGTCAATATTCCCAGCCACAATGGCACTTGAGACATTCCATGTGCTCTTTCGTGTCATACGGATTGATAACAGGGAGACCAGATCACTCAGGAGAGAGCATGACAAGCTAGCAGCCATTAGAGACATCTGGGATAAGTGGGTTCAGCGATTGCCACTACTGTACAACCCTTGCCCATATGTTACTGTGAATGCCCATTTCGACAATACATGCCCAGTAAGCCTGCCAAATATGGCATAAAAATATGGGCAGCTTGTGATGCTATGACCAGCTATGCCTGGAACATGCAAATTTACACAGGAAAAACTCCAGGGGCGGCACCTGAAAAGAACCAGGGTATGAATGTGGTACTGGATATGACTAATGGTCTATCTGGACATAATGTGACTTGTGATAACTTTTTTACTTCCTACACTTTAGTGGAAGAGCTGCTGAAAAGAAAGATCACAATGTTGGGGACAATAATAAAAAACAAACCAGAGCTTCCAAAAGATCTTGTTGAAACAAAGAACAGAAAGGTGGCATCCTCTATGTTTGCCTTCACTGAAACAGCTGCACTTGTCTCCTATTGCCCCAAGAAAAATAAAAATGTCCTGTTGCTGAGCACAATGCATAAAGATGCATCTGTGAGTGACAGAGAGGATAGGAAGCCTGAAATGGCTTTGGATTATAATAAAACCAAAGGAGGGGTAGATAATCTGGACAAAGTAAATGCCACCTATAGCTGTCAGCGAAAGACTGCCCGCTGGCCTCAGGTCATTTTTTACACCATCATTGATGTCAGTGCATACAATGCTTTTGTACTTTGGAGTGAAATCTACAATAGCTGGTACAGTACCAAAGGAAACTGGAGAAGAATATTCTTGGAACAGCTGGGTCGTGACTTGATAAAACCTCATATAGAGAGGCAAGAGCATCTACCCAGATCAGATCCAGCTGCATCCACAGTCCGGGAGATTCAAAATCGGCCTGAAGCCACCAGTGCTCCTGTAGCAACTGGTAAACGTGGAAAGTGCCAGGTCTGCACAAAAAGAAATGACTCCAAGACTCGTGTGCAGTGTATGAAATGTCATTAATACCTATGTTCAGCACACACTCAGACTGTCTGTCCAACTTGCATGAAGTGAGGAAAAAGGGGTCTGTATCTTATAGTCCTGTTGTGGGGGTATTTGTGTATCGTATATAGTTTGTCTTAGCATTTTTACTAGGAAGGTTTTGGTGGTGTTATAGCCTAATTTCTGGCTTTTGGGGTAAAGCATGTTCTATGTTTGTTCTACGCCTATCATTTTATGGTAGTTTAAAAATTCAATCTGTATACACACACCTACTTTTAGGACAAAAGCAAGTAAATTTTGGCTTTTGTGGGTTTAAATAAGTAAAGGAGATGTTGTGGGAAAGGGGAAACATATTGTTAAGTTAGTTATAAAAGTAATTTTAAAATTATTATATATAACAACGATGGAGTCTGTGAGACCCCAAACAATAGGAACGTTAAGTCAATTTGAACAGAATATGAGGGTTAAGGACATACATAGGATCAATTACATTTTTCTTTAATGGTTGGGGGCATTATTAACTTTGTATAAGCTGATCCTGAATCAGCAGTAGGCAACAAATAAACACATAGCACTTGTAGAACTTCCATTAGTTTTTGATTTCATCCAGAGCAAAGGGGCAGTAAACTGTGGCCAACATCTGTATCAACTATACAATTAATAATAAGCTTGAACCTGTGTTTGAGCTGAACACCAACTATGGTAAGGACCCATGGATGGAGAGCTCTAGTCTATGAGGAACACAAATGGCCTATGCCATTACATAATCTCTACAGGGTGCAACTAACTATGATGTAGATATACATAAATACATTGTCCTTTGAATTGTTAAGCCATTTTGTGCCTTGTCTATTTAAACATGTGTAACAACCTTTTTATGGGTAATGCAAGCCACTAGTAAAGGCTTGAGTTAATACAAAACAGGAAATGTAGGCAGACCACTGCCCACTGCACAATGTGTATCTATATGGGAGCTTCCCAGAAGTCCCTCTGATTTGCTGCTTATCCACACTCATTTCAAACAGAAGAAAAAGTGGTTGTGTTCATGTTCAAGTGTTTACAGTTTCTGTGCAGTCCTTACCAGCTGCTGGTCTCGGATCCCCCAGGACGCATACTGGAGAAGTGAATTGGTCACCTCTGGAGGATTCAGCTCCTGGACCTCCCTAGGGTTTGAAACAAAAACCAGAGAGTAACATATAACCTCCCCTCAGGGTGCAATCTCAGCCTTTGTCTTCCTCCAGAATATACATACCTTGTATGCAAGTTGTATATCATGTATGACGCCAAGAAAGAATAGCGGAAAACCTAAAGGAGGAACAGGGGGAAATGTATTAAATTAAAAGGAGATAGCATATTGGAGAATATGCTGCTGAGTAAGAATGAGCTCATTTACATTGTGAGACCCAGTAATGTAGTTGAACTTTTCTTGGCATTGAGGCCACCATTAATGCTAACAAATGTGGCCAAACTTCAACCACCGATGCATGTTCTGTATGATTTATTAAATGTGTTCTTTCCATTACTAAAAGCCAGAGATGTAGTCCTATGGCATTGGCTCATCAATACAGAACACTGAGCATTAATAGAACATGGTATGTAAAATTGTTATAAATTATGTAGCATGAGGACAGTACGTGGCCTGCATTCAGTAATGGTCATGTTAAATTAAATGGCTTTATACTGTGGAGGGAAGTACAGAAGAGTCCAGTATTAGGATAGCAACAGCCCTGTGAGTCTAAACAGTGCCATTCAATATGAAATATATCAATATTTACTACCAACTCCATAACATCTTAATAACAATGAACAATTCAATACTGGAGGGCTATTATATTAAAACAGTACATGTTAATACAAGGGCCTTAAAATAATACCACAAACTGTCTTACTAGAACAGTACAATTATGTTACACTTGTTGCTATTATACTTTCATTATTATGATTATTGTAGGAGCCACAATCAATAAAACTCTTATAGTGTCATACAATTTTTGTATTACATATAATTATTATTTTTTAATCAAATCAATTTTACCACATGAAATTACCCATAAACCTTTTCCTCTTCACCACTTGAAGAGTTAA